ATTTTGAATCTGAAAAGAGCTTCACTGAGTGAGAAGTAGTGTTGAGAGCAGCAGACAGTTTAAGTTTCACTTTCACTTTCTTTGTTGTCATAATGTTGATTATTTTAACTATGCTCACATCTCACCCGCTGCATCGTCTCTGTCTCCAGATGCTTCCCTCTCACCCTCCTCTAAATGTGCAGGACTCTCTCGTCCAGCTCTGATGGTTCGTGGCGCCTTGTTGATGACGTCATACCTGCTGGCCCTGCTGGTGCCCAGGTTCTCCCTGTTGATGGGTTTGACGGGAAGTGTGACCGGAGCAGCGATGACCCTCATCCTTCCGTGTCTGTTTCACTTGAGGCTGCAGTGGGGGCGACTGACGGTGCAGGACCGCCTGCTGGATGTGTGCATACTGAGTCTGGGGGTCTTATGTAGCGTTTCTGGGGTGATCTGCTCTGTGAAACGATTAGTGTTGGGACTCTAAAGTCTCACCTTAACAGGTAGCAAGAACAAATGAAGTGATAAACTGATTGATAAAAACTAAATGGCAAAAAAAAAAAAATCACATTTGAAGTTAAGTGCAAAGTCTCCAGCGTTTGTTTTGAAAGTGAGGAATGAAAGTGGAGTGAACATGAAATGATGTATATTTTATATTACAAACGGCCTTTTCATGCACGGAATATACACATCTAATCTGCAACAGAAATGCTTGTACGTCAGGGTTAGCATTTACTTTTCACAATACAATTTTCACTGGTATAATTGCGTGACTCGGATTGAGTTTTTGCATCAAAGGGAACATCGGCAAAAAAAAAGATAGTTCCACTGCTTGAACAAAACAATCTCAACTAAAGGTTACTGCAGCTGATGAAGACACAGTTCCATCTTTTATTTCTAAGGTCAAGAATTGCTTTATGTTTTACAGACATTCAATTATGAGCAGCAAGCTTGTCATTTCTCTCTGTATATATGGCACATGCTTAGCATAGTCCTGTTACTGTGGTAAACCTGTACATGTGTTTAACTGTTTCTGTAAATTCATTATAGAAAGGCCTTTGTGACGTGTTCAACCAAACCATTAAAACTCTGACATCTCATTCCTCCTGCTGTTTTGTTTGTGTTTATGGAGGACCGAATCTGACTTGATTAGACGTAAAAGCAGAAATGTATAAATGGACCAATAAGTGCACACTTAAAAAGCACAAATTAAATGAAGCAATGAGAACTTTACCTCATGATTTTATAATTTAACCGACACGTTTATTTTTCCAGCTTAGTTCCAATAAATTATATATTTTGCTTGTAATTTTTTCCACAAGTATTTTTATTTACTGTTTTTGCTTTCCCTTATGCATTTCTGCCTCTTTATGCAAATAAGGTGGGTGGAGCTTCTTGGGTCAGCTCCTCTCCTATTGGTCAACAGACAGGAAGGAGCAGGATCCATGTGTAGATCTACTGATATGTGCTGCATCCGTTTAGCTTCAAGTTTAAAGTTTAGTTTAAAACAAGGGTAAGGAGGCAAAACACTTCTGTGTCTTTATTTTTAACTAAACCAGACTTGGTCCTCCCAATGTGTTTGGAAAAAGTAATAAAGTACAGTAAAAACTGACAGCACAAGGGGGCGTTATTTTCTGTGAAATTAAAACAACAGAGGCCAGTTTTTTTGTTTAACCAGGTCAAAAATCTTTAATGCAAATCATGTCAAATTAAAAAGAAAATGGTCCTAAAGCTGTGCTAAAAATAAGACCTGTCCATCTGAGTTGGAATATAATCATTTGCAGTGAGAAATGGAGTTGTTTTGGTCAAATCTTTAAAAAATAACTTTACTAACAGTCGTTCAGCTTGAAGCAGGTGTCGTGAACGACTGTCACATCCTACCACAACAAATTTCAACTAAATATTGGTAAATTGGATAAATTTGTAGCTATTTTTTGGGTTCTCTGAAGTCCGTTAACCGTGGTGACCATCTTTAATTGAATGGATTCAAAAAGTTAATCAGCTGTAGATTTATTATCCATCAAACTTTATTATCATAAAGTTTTATTTAAATCTCTCACTTGGTTCATGAATAAATGTGTGTGTGAATGGGTGAATGTAAGTGTAAAGCACTTTGGGGTGCGGAGAGACTTGATAAAGCGCTATATAAGTTTAATCCATTTACCATTCATGAGATATTTTGCTGACAGACAAAGTTAACTTTTAATAGTTAATGGTATATATTTAAATAAAGATCTTGTGAGATCTGGTTGTGTTCAGAATATGTGTTGGTATTCAGTCTCAGCCACTAGCAGAATAAATTATTCTACAAAATCTTCACGTTTTAGCCATTTTAGTTTTTCTGTATCTCCTAAAGTTACGTGCAGATACGTGTTCAATGTATGTACAGGGGTTGGACAATGCAACTGAAACACCTGGTTTTGGACCACAATAATTTATTAATATGGTGCATGGCCTCCTTTTGCAGCCAATACAGCGTCAGTTCACCTTGGGAATAACAAACAGGTCTTGCACAGTGGTCAGAGGGATTTGAAGCCATTCTTCTTGCAGGATAGTGGTCAGGTCACTACGTGATGCTGGTGGAGGAAAACGTTTCCTGACTCGCTCCTCCAAAACACAAAGTGGCTCAATAATCTTTAGATCTGGTGACTGTGCAGGCCATGGGAGATGTTCAACTTCACTTTCATGTTCATCAAATCAATCTTTCACCAGTCTTGCTTGTATTGGTTCATTGTCATCCTGATACACAGCACCACCTTCAGGGGACAGTGTTTGAACCATTGGATGCACATGGTCCTCCAGAATGGTTCCTTGGCAGTGACACGCCCATTTAGCACAAGTATTGGGCCAAGGGAATGCCATGATGTAGCAGCCCCAAACCATCACTGATCCACCCCCATGCTTCACTCTGGGCAGTGGTACACTTATTTGGGGCTTCTCCACACCGTAACTCTCCTGGATGTGGGGAAAACAGTAAAAGTGGACTCATCAGAGAACAATACATGTTTCACATTGTCCACAGCCCAAGATTTGCTCTCCTTGCACCATTGAAACTGACGTTTGGCACGAGTGACCAAAGGTTTGGCTATAGCAGCCCGGCCGTGTATGTTGACCCTGTGGAGGACCTGACGGACAGTTCAGGTGGAGACAGGAGAGTTGAGGAACACATTTAGTTCTATCGTGGTTTATGTTTGTTGGATACAATCCAGGTTAGCACCTGAACATCGCTTTCAGACAGCTTCCTCTTGCGTCCACAGTTAATCCTGTTGGATGTGGTTGGTCCTTCTTGGTGGTACGCTGACATTACCCTGGATACCATGGCTCTTGATACATCACAAAGACTTGCTGTCTTGGTCACAGATGCACCAACAATTTGTCCTCTTTTGAACTCTGGTATTTCACCCATAATGTTGTGTACATTGCAATATTTTGAGCCAAACTGTGCTCTTACCCTGCTAATTGAACCTCCACACTCTGCTCTTACTGGTGCAATGTGTAGTTAATGAAGACTGACCACCAGGCTGGTCCAATTTAGCCATGAAACCTCCCACACTAAAATGACAGGTGTTTCTGTTTCATTTAACCCATTCTTGCGAGTTTCATTAAAACTGTGTTTTTTTTCACCATTTTGTCTTTATTTAGACTTTTTGCTTTGTGTTCAGATTACTGTTTAATTAACTGTTAATAATTTTAAACCTTTATTTTAAAATCCGTGCATTCGTTTTGTGATTACTTTCAGGTTTTACTTCTTGAAACCCTTCAGGCTGCATTTGTTTTTGAAAAGTTCTACATAAAAATGAGATAATTATAAATTTCACCTTGAATTCGAAGGAGACTTTGTTTAATGCTGTTGTTGTTGTTTTTAAGCAAATTAATTAATGCCTTTAAGGTAACAAGATAAAATTTAATAGAAACTCTGGAGAGTTATTAAGGTGAGCGATTTGTTTTGCCACATTACTGGAAAAAGCTCATAAAAATGTATCTAATGTTTGTGAAAGGTTTAATTAGCATTTGTGTAAATATCACAACACAGAGCAAATGTAGTTTTTTTTTTTTTGGTCTGTGGTCAAATAACACCTGAATTTATAGTGAATAAATAATTATGGAGGGACTGTTTGTGTTTATGGGTCATATAGATAATTTTACAGGGACTAACACAGGAGACGAGGAGATGTGTGTGTGCAGGTCTGCTCATTTTTTTAAATAAAAATTATACATGTAAAAAATTGTGCTTTTAAAAAAAGAATACTCAAACCCATAATTATGCATTTTTATTTGTTCTAATCACACATCTTTTAATGCCACAGTGGCGACTTGTCAACCAACAGAGTGGCACCTTGTTCAGATTCTTCTGACTCTTTTAAGAAACATCTTAAGACATTTTTATTCAGACAGGCTTTTAGTTAATGTGCTTTTTATTATGCTTTAATTGTTTTTTTATATTTGTGATATGTTTTATTGCTTTTTAGTTATTTTGCTCTCTGTTAAGCACTTTGTGACGTTTGTGTCTGTGAAAGGTGCTATAGAAATAAAGTTTACTTACTTACACCTGGGATGGCCAATCAGCTTCCAGGTGTGGTGAATCCCACCCAGAGCCGGCTCTTGGCATAGGTGAACTAGGTGGTTGCCTTGAGCGCCATCTGCTGGAGGGGGCGCTGAACTGCAGGAGAAAAAGTAATTATTTGTAATCCGTGGTTGTAACTCTGCACAACACCCCTTTCAATTAGCTTTGTCTTAAAAAACTATAATGAAGTATGACAGGAAAAATAAAATACTCTACCCATAAAACACCCCCCATGCAGCAATCGCACCCACCCTCTCTCTCATATGATTGACGTTGCACTGTCTCGTCCTGCTCCAACATTCTGACGGGGGAGGGGCTAGTAGTACCTCTCAGGTAGCGGTTCGTGTTGACAAACTCAATAACAACAAGTCTGTATTTTGTTGTCCCATACATGTCAATCCCTTCGGATGTTTACCTGGATAAAAAGCCGCAAAAATCCGTATATTTTGCAAAAAATCCACACAACTCAGACCCTTGGGGGGGGTTGTCAGCCTCGCTGAGGACGTGAAAGCGCCCGCTGCGAAGCAGGAGGAAAGGAGAGCGGAAAAAGTTCAAAACTTATTTCTAGCGGCAGAACAGGTTGGAAGATGACTGTTTAATGTTATTTGTTGTTTTTTAAATCATCCTACAGGCTCTGACATGTTAGATACAGCGGGTAAAATAAGTATTGAACACGTCAACATTTTTCTCAGTAAATATATTACTAGAGGTGCTAATGACATGAAATTTTCACCAGATGTTGGTAACAACCCAAGTGATCCATACATACAAAGAAATCAAACCATAAATGTCCAGAAATGAAGTTATTTGTAATAATGTGGAATGGCACAGGGATAAAGTATTGAACACACTTACTGAAATTTATCTAATACTTTGTACAAAAGCCTTTGTTGTCAATGACAGCTTCAAGACGCCTCCTGTATGGAGAAACTAGTGGCATGCATTGCTCAGGTGTGATTTTGGCCCATTCTTCCACACAAACAGTCTTCAAATCTTGAAGGTTTCGTGGACCTCTTCTATGAACTCTGATCTTTAGTTCTTTCCATAGATTTTCTGTTGGATTCAGGTCAGGTGATTGGCTGGGCCATTCCAGCAGCTTTAGTTTCTTTCTCTGAAACCAACTGAGAGTTTCCTTGGCTTTGTGTTTGGGCTCATTGTCTTGCTGAAATGTCCAGCCACGTTTCATCTTCATCATCCTGGTAGATGGAAGCAGATTTTTATCAAGAATGTCTCTGTACATTTTTCCACTCATCCTTCCTTCAATTATTTGAAGTTTGCCAGTACCATATGCTGAAAAACAGCCCCACACCATGATGTTCCCACCTCCAAACTTCACTGTTGGTATGGTGTTTTTGAGCTGATGTGCAGTGCCATTTGACCTCCAAACATGATGTGTATTCTGGCATCCAAACAGTTCAATGTTGGTCTCATCTGACCAGACTATATTCTCCCAGTATTACACAGGCTTGTTTAAATGTTGTGCAGCAAACTTTAAAGGAGCTTCAACATGCTGTTTCTTCAGCAGTGGAGTCTTGCGTGGTGAGCGTGCATACAGGCCATGGTGGTTCAGTGCATTACTTATTGTTTTCTTTGAAACAATCGTACCTGCTAATTCCAGGTGTTTCTGAAGCTCTCCACAAGTGGTCCTTGGCTCTTGGACAACTCTTCTGATCATTCTTTTCACTCCTCTGTCAGAAATCTTGTGAGGAGCACCTGGTCGTGGTCGGTTTATGGTGAAATAATGTTCTTTCCACTTCTGAATTATGGCCCCAACAGTGCTCACTGGAACCTTCAGAAGTTTAGACATTCTTCTGTAACCGATGCCATCATTATGCTTTGCAACAATAAGGTTGTGAAGGTCTTGAGAGAGCTCTTTACTTTTACCCATCATCAGATGGTTCTTGTGTGATACCTGGCCATCATTTGGGTCTGAACCAGCTGATATTAACTTGCACTGACAAGGGGCAGGCTTGTTTTCTAATTACTGAGAGAGTTCAGCTGGTGTCTTGGCTTTCCATGCCTTTTTACACCTCCCTTTCTTCATGTGTTCAATACTTTTTCCCTGTGCCATTCCACATTATTACAAATAACTTCATATCTGGACATTTATGGTTTGATTTCTTTGTATGTATGGATCACTTGGGTTGTTACCGACATCTGGTGAAAATTTCATGTCATTAGCACCTCTAGTAATATATTTACTGAGAAAAATGTTGACGTGTTCAATACTTATTTTACCTGCTGTAAATATGAAAATGAAGTTTTGAAAAAATCCGTGAGATTGCTCTATACGTCCGTATACCTGCAAACTGACGTAAAATCTTTATAACTTACAGACAATCTGTACAAGTTGACATGTTATTGATTTGCTTTCTAGGAAAGCAAATAAATCTAAGTTTACCATAGTACCTTACACTGTCAAACTTGTTTTTAGGGGTTCGATTTGGGGTGGGTGGGACATAGTTCGGGGGGGGAGGGGGTGCGCTTCAACTCGCCTAGGGCACCAAAATGGCTGGAGCCAGCACTGGTCCCACCCCTCCACCACATTTGCTCTGCCCCTAAGATGCACAAACTGCCTTAATGACTCCTATGTCTGTAATCATATCTGTTAGTTTATAAACCTGCATTTTTCATGTGCCACCACCCGTTCAGCTTTTATCTTTAAGTAAGGTATCAGGTCTGCCCTGAGGTCAGAACTGTACCATTTAGATTTCCTCTGAAACATATTGCTCCTTAACTTCCCCCGTGAACTCCAACAACTCCGAGCGGCTGTAAATATTTGAACAACACTTCTCTAAATGAATCCGTACGAACCTTGAAGAAGTCCCACGAGCAATAATGATGTGATCCGTGCACGCAACTTTATCCCAAAGCCTTTCCTGCCAGAGGGAAACGGAGAGCTTTCCGAGGCGTCTTCAGTTCCACGAGGAGTGCTGGAGCAACAAAAGATCTAAGATGCCGGGGATGAAAGATACAAGCAGAGACATTTGAACAACCAAAGGAAAAAGCAGCGACCAGAAGGTGAAGATGGAGAAAGTGATTATTGGTGTGAAAGCTAGCAAACAGTAAGGCAGTAAAGTGAATTAGCTCCAGTGGATAAGGAGCTCCATACTTTCTGCCAGCTTTACTAATCCTTCTTATATCAGGCTGGAGAAGACAGAGAGTGGAGGTGGGAGTGCTTTTTGTTTAATGCACCATTCACACTTGTGTGCTTGATTTAGTGTGTGAGTCTGGATATATCAGCTGTGTTCACATGTCGATGCAGGAGCCCATATGCTGTGTGTGGGAGCATGCATATGAATGTACGTGTCCATGCTTGTGTGTGTGTGTGTGTGTGTGTGTGTG